ACATACAACTGGATACAACACAATTTTTATACTTTTAATAGGAAAAGAAGCTGGGTAGGAGGTGGGGGGGAAAAAGGGAGAGAGAGAGAGAGAGAGAGAGAGAGAGAGAGACAGGGAGAAATTCAAATTAGTCTTTTAACATTTGCGTATAAATATCCCTAATTTTACACCGATAGTATTATCCTGAACGATTAATAAAATGATTAACATCTTATTAGGTAGTATATCTTGTCCGCCAGCGATAAGAGGAGAGTAATTTGCTATTCATGAGAGAGAAGAAAAACTTATCTAAAATTAAGGTCTCCGCGCGCGCGCGCACACACACATACACACACACACACACACACACACACGCGTGCGCGCGCGGTCAATACAGGATAGTCAGAAGGTTTCGTGCACACAAAACCACACACATACATACACACACACCACACACTCCAGCAGAACGGTGACCTTCCTGCTTAAATGCACCCCGTACTTCGCGGTGGACGATAAACTTAGGACAAACGATCGAGATTAATAGAACGAGGCTAGGACCCCGTCTGCGATACTATCGATCCGCGCTGGCACGGCAAACGAGATACACGAGGCGATTCCCCGCGGGATCGTAAATCCACGTCGAAGATTTACTTACTTAGTGGAGCCGCCGATGCCGCTGCCGCGGCAACGACGAGAACGACGACGACGAGGACGAGGAATCTGGTTTTCTTTATAGGCGCACAAATAAGCCAACGTGGACGTCGCTTTTTTACGTTCATCTCTCTCTCTCTCTCTCTCTCTCTCTCTCTCTCTCTCTCTTCCTCTCTCTGTACATAATATTATACCTCGCGCGACGTCTTTATGCGCTCCTTTCAAAAGGACATCGGCAGTTGAAGTCCAATTTTTTTTCTCCAGAGAGGTTTTTACTTTCATCCCCTTTTCTTTGAATGCGAGCCGTTGATGAGAAGTTCGTTGCTGCGAACATTCGTAAGCACTCGCATAATATTCGCAAATGTACAGCTGAAAACGTTGAGAAATAAGTTGAGCTCCACGCAAATAACGAGTCTTGAAAAAAAAAAATTTTTTTTCTCTCGACTCACAGTCGCGTCCGTTTGATCCTCCCGCTCGCGATCACTGCGCATATTAATCACAGCCCCGTCATGTAATCTTTTAATCGATCAGTGGTGAAAGCTTGCTTATCATCATTCATGGGATCGCGGCGGCGTTTGACGAAGGGACGTTTTCCGCGCGAAACTACGGGCGTAAAACGTAAATTGAAGGAGCGCCACCGAAGAGTGCGCACGAAGGTCGAAGGTGAGTTGTCCGTGTTTTCATTACAAGACCTAGCCGGTGTAAACGCTGTAAACCGAAGACATAAATGTACCCGAAGCTCCGTTCCTCCAGCTAAGGAGCGTGAGTTCGTGTTTTTTACGTCGCGGTTTTACGTCTTTTTTTATTGACGCGATCGATGAAAATTTGAGAAATATTTTACCTTGCCAGACGCGCAACGTCTTAAAGATTTTCCGCGAGTCCAGCGTACTTTCGAAATTCAATGGGGAGATAAGTGCGAGCATGCAGAGAAACGGGACGCAAGTTGGTAAGCACAAACATCGCGTACACGTCGCGCATAAAAGATTCATTCCGCGCTACATGTGAAGAGCAAAATGAAATATATCTACGTAAAAAGCTAGATAAACTCGAGATGCTACAGCAATATCTCTCTATTCCTAGTGGAAAAACAATATTATCCCCCATTTCCGCACGGCCCCATTTACGTCTGAAAGGAGTTTCCCGATGAGACGGAAAAAAGAGAATAAGATAAGTTCGATTCGATGGAATAAAATCTGCAAAGGCAAAGAGGCACATGGAAAAATGGTAACGATATTAAATTTTCTCTTTTTCCACTAATAATATAACTCGACATTCATTACCTTCGTAAGAGGTACCTCTTTGTGTAATTCTTGCGTGGTGAAAAGAAAGGACAGAAAGAACGAGGGGAAAAGGAGAAAGAAATACTTGAGAATGTTATGCGCAGCGACGTAGGAAGAGAGAGAGAGAGAGAGAGAGAGAGAGAGAGAGAGAGAGAGAGAGAGAGAGAGAGAGAGGGAGAGAGAGAGAAAGAGGAGAGACGGGGAAGAAAACGAGCTCTTTTTCAAGCACGACTATGAAACTTAATTTTAAATTTTATGGGAGATAACTTGCCGTTCCAACCGAGCGGAAACAGCGCCCGCTTGCGATATCGCGGGGCACGAAACGGAATTTTCAGCGAGGAGAGGCACGGAGAGACGCGCCGCAACTTTCACGGTCCGCTTCGTCAAATTCGCGCCGATAACGAGAATATTTCGAGATAACCGCGTTTTTTCCGGCGAAGTGCATCTCGCCATGGTGGAGAGACACGGCCACACGGCGTCACATCGGGAGAGTACGTCACGCCGTTAATGAGAACGAGTGCCGGAGTGAAGGAAGGAGACTGCAAAGTGGACGTCGATAAAGTCGCCGGGGGACTGCAGGATGCCTCGATAACGCCGCCACGGCGACGGAGGACGACGAGTACAAATTAAATTTTCTTCGTTGACTAGTCTGGATTTCTCCATGTCGCGAGTTCTTCCTACCTACAGTGCATGTCTTTACTCCTCTCCCCTTCCTTCCGCCCTTTCGTCAGTCCATCCATCCGTCTGTCTTTCCGGCTCGTTCATCTCTCGGCGACTTTCTTTTTGGCAATCAAACGAGCAGAGGAACCAACCAAGCCTGCACTATCACCGTATTCCTGAAGACACACCCGTAGATGCTCGAAATTTCCGGCTCCTCTGCTTTGTTTCCTCACGACGATGACGACGTAATCGGCGGTCGCTCCGGCAAATTGAAAAAGCGCTCTGACGGAAAATCGAGTCCCGTGCAAACATGAATTTCATCCGCGAGCGCACATTTTGTCTCATTGCGGCCGCTCGTGGTGCGCGCGTTTGTATTTTTCCCTTCGCTTCTACCTACTGTAATGCCGTGTAAACGCAATATGTGGTAATGTAATTATATGTATGTGGGATTTCGTCGGAGTCTATGAGAAGGAAAATTGCACGAAGTTCGCGTAGCGTGGAAACGTTCGGTGGAGCGAGGAGAATCAATCGAGTCGAAATTTGGATTCTATATTAATCCTGTAAGCATCGTTGAACTTGAGCAATCGAGAGAGAGAGAGAGAGAGAGAGAGAGAGAGAGGGAGAGAGAGGGAGAGAGAGGGAGAGAGAGGGAGAGAGAGAGAGAGAGAGAGAGAGAGAGAGAGAGAGAGAGAGAGAGAGAGAGAGAGAGATAGAGAGCAAGTAAAAAATATATATGGAAGATAAAATTTTAAGCAATTAATACAGACATAATAAATTTGAAGTCTTCATAATTTTACTAATATTATAATATTTCTGTTACTATGATGTCGGAAATTTCAATATTCAACATTCGACATTCCGATGCAATGTAGATCTCATTGAGTTAATGGAACATAAAAAAATTCTAAAATATTTCTTCCTTTGAGTCTCTTATTAAAGCAATCGATGAAAATAAAATATCACCACCTGTGAAGTATGAAATTCTCCTTCACAAGATTTGGGTTCGAAGACATTGATCCTGCAAGTTAATTTGGATTTGCAGGTTCAATGTAAAATTAAAAGTTCAACTCGGCTAAGAGAGGAATGTTTTACGATGCGGCGGTGAAATATCGACGTATAACCGTTCTTGAGCGATGTCTGACATAAATCACAGATGAAACGTAAAAAGGCGGCGGGTAGGAAGATGAAAAAGCGACTGGATGTAAAATCCCTAAGATGCCATCGGAGCGAAGATATGAGGACGCCCGGCGGCTTATCCAGTTTGCACGAAAGTGTTCTTTGTGAATAAAGAAAAAGCCGAGGAAACTCGTATTATATATCGCTGATATTTTTCACGAGGCGTAAGCGCAATCGAAATAATACTCGTTGCACGGCGAGGATGAGAACTGAAATCGGGGCCTGAAAGTCAATGGCCTCCGTTTCATGTAATTTGTACAATTCTACTAGTTCGCTGGTCGTAGATAACACGAGAACCTCTGACGGAACAAATCCGCCCACGATTAACGTTCGCTCAGAATCAGATTCTGCCTTCATGCGCGCCCGTGCTTTATTTCGCTGACGCGCAGCTCTGTGCATTCGCGCGAAAGCGTTATTCATTGCGGCAGCGTTAGGAACTCGACTCTACGCCGATATTTGATTAATTTTAACCGCCGCATTAGTCCTTTGGCTACGCTACTGCGTGTGCGCTTAGCCCCGTGTAAACGGGTATAAACTACACGTGTAAGACGATCTCGAGGTGTGTACGCGAACGCGCGCGCGTGCGCGCGTGTGTGTGCATGCGTGTTTGCGCGCACACAACGAACGTGTGGTGGCTTAGCCAGCAGCACTCGTCTACGTATACACAACTTACCTCGAGGAGTTTGCCGGCGTTCTTGCTTGCATTTGCCTAACCGCGTTAACGGATCCCGATCCAAATATCAGGCAACGAGCCTCCGGAAACCCTCTGTGGCTCGCTCCCCGTGCACGTGGCGCTGGCTCGGGTGCCAAAACCGGCAGCCAGCCTTTGTCCCCGGCGAATCCCCGCAAAACAAATCCCGAGTTTCGCGATTCAGACCGCGAGAATTTATAATTTTTGAGCGTCTTGTTCTTTTTTTTTTGGTTTTTTTTTTTTTTTTTTCATTTTTTTTTTCTTCGACGGAAGCAGCAGGTGATTGAAGCGGAAAGAAATTGATCCTCGCAATTATTCGGTGCTCGACGCATCTTGCCGAGCGGGCACGAAGAAGAGTCGTGTTTTGTTAATCGAATTTTCTCGACCGACCGACCGGCCGGTGAGATTGTTTCGTACTTTACGGAGGAGAAGAAGAAGGGTACATTTTTATGGCGTCACGTCCATCGCAACTCTCGCTGTGTATTTTTACCTCGCGTTGTTTCCTCGTCTTCTTTGTTCAATGGGCTCACACGACTCAACTCGCTTTACATGTTTTGTTGCAGATGAGTGGCAAACGGACCAGAAGTTTTAAGTGCGCCGTGCACCATCGGGACCGCGAGGTCTGCTCCGAGAACGATTTCCACCTGCTCGTGCATGAGCCGCCTCTGTTTCGCAGGTACGATTAGCCTTACGCATTGCGTGCGTAACAGATTCTCAACGCGTATAGCGAGCCGCTTCACGTACCTTGACGCTTCACGAAGCACGCGTTTTCCGTGACGTGCGATGTTTCTGTCTGCTTCTTTCTCCTTTCTTTTTCTTTCTCTCTCTTTCTCTCTCTCTCTCTCTCTCTCTCTCTCTCTGTTTCCACTTCGTTTTAGGCTACCTTTATTCTCCTGAAGTATTAATACCTTACTTCGCGGATTAGGCCACGTAGAAGCGCATGCCGTTCGCGTACCAACTCTGTTATCTATTATTCTGTATTTCCACGCAATGTACCACGCACGTCCAGAGCGCACAACGAAGTCGTTATTGTTCCTGTCAAGAGACCTGACGAGTAAGCAAGGTGCAGGGTGGAGCATTTTACATTGAGACGCCTGAATGTATAAAATGTAGAGCAGAATGAGAAGAAATATTTGATAGTTGTTGATGGTTAGAGGATATATATCGCGATGCTATTGCGGGTCGACCTTTGGTTGGTTACAAAAACAAGGATGCTTTCCGGAAAATAAATCGTTCCAAGGTTGAAATAAAGCAATTCCGTCGAAAAGTTCGGTCGGACGCTTAAGGGAAACGTGGCTGAGTCTCCGGACTGCAACGCTACCAGACGCAGATAAATTATTATTATTAGTTACGCGGGACGTTCTTCCCTCGATTCCTCGAGAATTCTTGGACTCTGCAACGTTGCGGTGTAGAGCTTGAAATCGGCGACGATTTCGGACGACGGAGGGAGGATGTCTCTCGACGACCCGAAGGAGAAGCTCTCGATCGCACGAATTAAAATGCCATCGCGGGGACATTTTTCGAAGTCACCGCGTACATTTCGGCTTGAGATAGCGCGGTGGATAGAAATGGGGATAAAGCGATTCTCGTGGCGCGACGTCGCAAGGCGAGAGAGGGAGGGAAAGGAGCACGTCGAGAAGGACGTAGGGAAAGTGGATAAAACGAAGGCACGAACGACAGAAAGTCCTGCATTTTATTATTCCGGCGGAATATCCGCCGCGTCGTGAACGACGACGGCGACGGCAACGGCGTCGACGACAGCGACGCGAACGAGAACCGTTCTTGCAGTATTTCTGCTGTGCATTTTATGCTGCGCATCGTTACCCATGCGGGAGAACCCCGAGGAGAGGTACCGACATACCACGTACATTGTACAACCTGCGAAACATCAACATCTTCCTGCTTCCTACGACCCACCGCCGCCGCCGCTACGCTGCACGCTCCGTCTTTCCGCCTCGTGCGTTCCTCACATACACACACGTACAACACCTCACGTACACACATACATACACGTGTCTCTCTCGCGTGCGCTCCGTGAAATTATAAATACAACGATATCTCACACTGTTTACCGATACACACCTCCGTAGCTGGAGCTCCGCGGAAACGTGACTTCTTGCTTTCAGACGTTTTCAGCTTTTCAAAGTAGTTTTTCGGACATGTTTTCGCGAGATACAATAGTGAGCAAGAGAAGGAAAGAAAGAGAGAGAGAGAGAGAGAGAGAGAGAGAGAAAGAGGGAGAGAGAGGAGAGAAAAATTGAAAACTCCTTCCCTATACACTGATAGAAAAATATAGTTGAATTAACTATAATCTCACTATATTTTATAGTTCATTTTGGCGTCAACCATATTTTTATAGTTCGTGGAACCTGCAAAATATAGTAGAATATACACAAATATATAGTCAATGATTGTCTTAAATAATTGTTTAGTTACTTTTACCACATATATGGTAATTTCTCATTCACAAATATAGTGAGATTTAATATTCATATAGTTACATCTGTCATCATTCAGCAAATATTCTGGTAATATTGACTGTATAAAAGAATTACTTTACTTACCATTTTACATTTGTATCCATACAATAATTTTACTTTAACTCATTATAATTCTTAGTAAAAATATTATATGGTTGGTATATACTATGCCTATATCGTAATTATTACCGATTATGGTAATACTTACTATAAATATGATATTTCGGACTATATGGTAATTTAGTTACTATATCATTATAGTTCCAAATATCACATACTTTTCTCTCAGTGTACGAATATACATCTCTCTGATAGAGATGAAGAGGGGAAGAGAGGAGGGGGGGGGGAGGAAAGGGAAGAAAATGTGAACTGATTACAGATTGTTGTCGGGGCGAATGGACTATCGCGCACGGATTACGAATGTCGATGCTGTCCTCCACGAATTATTGTCACAATCGGCGACAGTAAATATCGTTCGTCGTTAATCATACATTTAACGATTCCACCGTTTCGTCGATATAACTTACGGAATAATAGTCGGCGCACGACGGGTGTAATGGCGCGATTTATCGACGTCACCGACGCGCGCGCGCGCGCGCACGAAGCGTAATTCGCGAACGTACGTGACGAAACATTCGACTCGCAATTTAAATGAGCAGGCGTCCGTGCTATCTGTCTATCTGCAGCGCCATTTATAATAACACCGCGCGCCGGCGTCGTCTCGCGCGATTTCGCCACGGCGAGTCCGAGTCCGAGGATATCAATCGCTTTTTTCTCGCGAAGCGACTCGCGATAAGACGAATAGGCTTGAATATGTATCGGACATCGAGAAGGCACCTCCGTTCGCGCCGAGTCTCTCGAGCGTGGTCTCGATGACTTGTTCTTGGGTGCCATTCATAAATAATTCATCGTATCGCCCTTACGAAAGAAGAGACGGAGCGGGTGAGTGAGAAAGTCTGAACCGACGGGGGAGGAGGGGGCGAAGAGGACACCGAGAGAAGATAGGCCGTGCGAGCCGTAGACTCGGAGATAAAAACCGGGGGTGGTTCTACATGAAAACTAATGGAACTTGAGCTTCAAACTCCCTCGAGCGAGTCTGACGACATCATAGGCGGAATAATGTTGTTAAAAAGTACTCGTCGCGCTTTCTTCGGACGTGTCGTCGCGAGACGGGGCGCGTAGGGTTGAACGGCGACGCGTTTCGTTCGACATCTGCTCGCTGCGGTTATGCCACTCTCAAAATCATTAGCAGCTCTTTGTTCCACAAGTCCCAAAGCAAAGAGAGCCAAAGAAGAATAGAATAGTAAAAATAAAGATTAAGAGAGAAACATTGTACGGACAGGGGAAAGAGCAAGAAAGGATGAGCAAGAACGCGAAAAGGAGATGGGGAGGAGGGGGGAATACGAAAGAGTATTCCCTCTCTCCGAGCGGCACGAAATCTGGCCACCACCCCGTCGCGTCGTGCCGCGCCACGGGGAGAGAAATTCCTGTGCACACAAGATAAGAAGAAGCGGCAACCTGCAAGCGGGAGAGGGCTCTTTGCAAATAAAATATCGTCTCGTGTCAAGCGACCGCGTGCGCGCGCGCGGCGGGGGGAAGGGGGGGAGCGAGGATGGAGGCTTGGATGGTTGTCCGGGGGCTGGGAAGCGCGCGACGCGTTACGACGGAAATATGACGAGACGATATTCCGAGCAGGTGCCGAGCGCATGCTTGGAATTCGGTGTGAGCACAACCCTTAAGTCTTGAGCGCGTCACCCCCGGCTCGAACCCCTTTCGTCGCCTCCGCGACCGCTTTCGTGATCGCGCGCGTATCTCTTTTTCTCTTCTATTCTGTCCTCCTCCCTCCTTCCTCTCTCTCTCTCTCTCTCTCTCTCTCTCCCCCTCTCCCCTTCTTTTCCTCCTTTCTTTCTCGTTCGCACTCTGTTACGTTAACGCGACGACGACGAGTATGTAAATTCTACCGCTGACTCGAGGCGAAGTGGTACGAGAGAGGAGTCCTCCGCCAACACCCCCCGGGAACTCGCGCCCTTACACACCTGGGAAACCGAGTCGAGCCGAGTACGTAGACGGCGGTTTATGGCGGGCGATACGTCTTGCGGAAGAGCTGCATTGATCACGAGGTGGCGGCGACGGCGGTGATGGTAGTCGTGCGAGAAGGATGTTGAGGTCCTCGAGATTTCGCCCTCATAAATTGCAACGAGCACGGCCAGACTGAGCGCGCTGACTTAATGTTTAATTCTTAAACCACGGGGGCTACAGCGGCCAGACTGTTGACGGCAATCTCGACGGAGGCGCGGAATTTCCACGGTGACGGTAACAACGAGAAAATCCCCGCTGAAATTCGCGCATTCCCCCGCTCTCCCGAGCACACTGTCTGACACGCGCTTATTTTTAGATTATTAGCTACCGTGAATGAACGGCCTTCGCATTAGCCGCAGGCGAGGTTTGCGGCGCGGCGGACATTGTGTATACGCTCTGCGCGTTACTTGACTCGATCTCGCGTATAGGAGCAAGTAGATTTCACGTTAAACACTGATAGCAAATGTTCGAGAGAGAAAGAAAGAGAGAGAGAGAGAGAGAGAGGGAGGGAGGGAGGGGGGACTAGAAAGAGAAAAAGAGAAAGGGAGAGGGACACGCGCGGCGCGAGCCACTTTCCGTGATATTCTCGTTAAGGCTGGCGGATCGCGCGAGCGGCGGCAAGCAAGCAAGCTGAAAACCGCACACTGCGGAGAGCAGTGCGAATGGGTAACTCTCGTCTGGCATTTCCGGCAGAGCGATACACCGATTTCCGCTCTGGCGAAATTTCCGTTCGCCGTCGTCGCGCGGAAAGAAGAGATGGAACGCGACGCTTCGCTCCGCACGATTCTCCATCTCCGCTTTCCCCTCTCGCCCCCCCCTTCTTTATGTTTCACTCTTTCTCTCATTCTGTCTGTCTCTCTCTCTCTCTCTCTCTCTCTCGCTCTCTCTCTCTCTCTCTTTCTCTCTTCCTCTCTCGCAGCGATCGTTCCCGTTTAACAGACTCGCAGCGCGCATTTTGCGAGGCGAACCGACGTGGTTACAAAAGAACCACGGTTACACACGCGGAAACACTCGCCGCGTGCGCGTTTCCCACTCAGCCTCGGCCCTTTGTCGACCCTCGTCCGCTGCGCTTCCATTTTTCGCTCTCGCGAGAGAGCGTCGTCATCCAGCCGTTATG